ATAAAGAGACGTGCCATAGAACATGTTGTGAAACACACAATAGCCAGCATGTGTACCTGTACAATTCCAGTTTTGGAAAGTCTGCCGTGGTTCCATTCCATTTCATCGAGCTGTTTGACGCTCAGCGTAACCTTGTCGCACTGCCACTCCAACATCCAATCACAGGGCTTGATGACTAATCACAACGGGGTTTGTAAAGCAAGGCGGATGTTGTAGTCCCAAACGATAGCTGGGGATTCTGGGTAGTGTAGTGTTTTCGGAAACTGTAGTGTCTAAACTCCGAAAAAACTATTTGTTTCTCGGAATCGAAGGTTAAAAACACAAAAGCATTGTACACAATTTAAATCAATCAATATTGTGTAATTAACAAGGATAAACTGATGTTTTTTAGTGGATGAGTAATGCAGATATCACTGTGTAATCATTTGACAGTGAGGGGGAATATATCCGGTTTTATTATGAAAACTTGGAGACCGGAAAACCTGTTTTCACCCCATGACGCTAACTTTACATGGAAGCTGCATACACGTTATCCTGGCGAGACCTCAAATCATCTTCGTAATATCTATCAAACTATAGATCCTACACATCGACTGGACGTGGATTCTAAGAGTACAATATACACTTCTCGCTAGAAATCTAATCAAAAAGCATTGTAATGGCCAAACTATTCCACAATTTAGGATTATTTGTGAATAAACGTCCCTCCAGAGCGTTTGCAATCAACGGGTGTATGTTGTTTCTTACACGACCACTAGAGCACCTCTAGTGGTCGTGTAAGAAATAACATACACTTTAAAAAGTGTCTCTGGGTCGTAATAAGGGCTTGAACAATCTATATGGTCGTTTTTTGTAGGAGGACAGGCTGAACTGTATGTAAACACCTTACATTTTTAACTTTCACTTTTTTAACATGTTTTTACTCTGTAATTTCTTTATTATTATTATTTTTATGATTATTATTATTATACCTTTTATATAATAATAATAATAATAATAATAATAATAATAATAATAATAATAATAATAGTAATTATAATTATTACTATCCTTGTCTGAATTCATATCTGTCCAATCCTGTTTACCCTTGTTGTTGCTAAGACACCTGAGTTTCCATACGGGATCAACAAAAGTGTATGTTATCCACAGTCTCAGCATGTGACAGTGACATTAAGATGAAACCCTATTTTCTGCATTGTGGAAACATTTGAAACACACATATATTTCATCTATATAATTTATTAATGACACATACTGTAATATAAATATAAATTACAAACAGATTGCCATTATTAACATTTCACAATATAAAATCAAAGTAACACATTAGTGAGCAGTATTCTCTGTAGACAGACAGTGAGTGGAGCAGCTGCTCCGTTGTCTTCATACACACTAAAACTGTCTTCTGACAAATGTATAAGCTGGAACATAATGTGCATATTGTGACAGAAGTGGGACATATGGAAGGACATCCAAATGAAGGTCAGCACATTCAATCAGGGGCAGTGGCCGTTTCTCAATGTCGAGTAAACCTGCTGCAGAGCCACTATTTCAAGGATACTACGTCATTGAGTGGCACAGAATGCTGGGCATTTAACATGCATTTAAACAGTCCTTCGGCACCACTCGATGAAGTAGTATACTTGAAATAGTGGCTCTGCAGCAGGTTTACTCGACATTGAGAAACGGCCAGTGTGTCTAGGCTCAGGCAGACATGGGTTCATAGGTGTGGAAGTGGATTCCCTTGGAGCATGTGATCTTCATCACTGCCCCCTGCAGACTGGAGTCCATGATCAGCCTCATCATGCCCTCTGCGATCAGAGAAGGCCTGCAGACAAACACAGACAACATGAACTCACACACACAGGAAATAGTGAGTCACTCGTGATGTGTGCGTTTGTGTGTGTGTGAGCTGCACAGTGTAAGAAGGTTCCTCAGAGCCTGGCGGTACGTTCACAGTTAATCACAAGCTGTGAAGGGAGGACCTTGGAACATTTTTTATTTGATTCTCTGATCTCTTCTCAAGTGTAGAGCATTTCTGACCATGCTTTGGTTCAGTCTCTTAGAACGGCTCCAAATAAATAAAAACAGATAAAGTATCATTCAGCTACCAAGTGGACTCTGGGCCACTTGTGTGAAATAATGTAATCAGAACAGGACAGAGACAGACTGAGTGTTCTCGAGCGCACATTTCACTGCAGTTGTTTGGAGAGAATAAATCACCATCAGCTCACAGACACAATCTTAGGTACAAAGAGCAATTCATCAGTGTGCTGAACGTCCTGTGACTGAAACACATAACTGTGACCACTACTCATATTCCATCTCAGTATTCATAATACTTGCATTCACATTTTTCACATTAAAAACAACAAAGAGTTACATTATACAGTTTATACAAAACCAGAGCTGTGCTGATGTACTTTCCATTCTTCAGTTATGACACACTACAGACCATGGAGTGTGCTGTCACAATATAACACAACCTTGCATGTAAAATGCCACACACTTTAAAGCTTTTCATATATTAAAAAAATAAATAAAATGCAGGTTATTTAATAGTCTAATCTAAATAAACCAAATAAACAGACAACGCTTCTCCAATTCCTTCCAACATCCCAAAAAAGAGCTTCAAAATACAGAAATAAAGGAACTGCCATCTGCCAGACACACACATAACCATAATATATCCATAAAAACCTCAACTTGACAAATGTTCTATTGCACAGACTCATGATTCGTTATTCAGAAACGTCATTTATGTGTCGGATTTCAACACGACGGTCCACTTTAAGCTGCCAGCAGAGGATAGAAGTGCAGCTCACATCCTGAAGTCTCTCACCCTTCACCAAACTACTTGTGCAGTACACACATCAGCGTGATAACAAAGATTTGAAATGACACCAATAAACCCATTTTATGGAAAAAAAGATTTGACATGTAACTGGATTTGTAGTTTTGCCCCTTAAGCTCTCAGGGGGCCAATGAGCCACGTCCTGCAGCCCTCCACCAGGGGGCAGTGGACATGTTCTGGTCATGTTCAGAATGTGTGTCCTTCAATGACCTGAGCTCAACTTCTCACTGACTTCTCACTGACTTTTCACTGACTTCTCACTGACTCATGAGTAACCAGACATTAATCAAATATATGTTTTAGATCTTTTCTGTACTTAGACAACTTAGATGCCCAGTGCTGAACTGGCTCATGTTTAATCAAAACAACGATTGGCAAGACTTATAACCACCAAGACTCTAAGACCTTTTAAACCCTTGCTGTGTCAGTACAAATTCTGAACAGTTAAACATCTAATTATCATTACACAGATAAACATACATAACATATTATTTAAACTATCAGAGAAACGTTTGTTTGTTAACTTACTGTAAAACTCCAAACTTGCTCATGTTTCGTTTGAAATCGTCCTTGAACTTGACAAACTTGCCCATGTTGTCCTCATGTTCCACTGAGTGCAGCAGAGGAGTGTCCACGAAGGCCGGGCACAGAACGTTGATCCGGACGCCGTAATCGCCCTGTGAGGATGCGTCCTGCGAGACAGGATGCGAGCGGAGCTTTCAGTAGCTTCATGTTAACTGTGTGTGTGCGTGTGTTTGTGTGTGTGTGGTGTTTGTGTGTGTGTGTGTACGTGTGTGTGTGTGTGTGTGTGTGTGTGTGTGTGTGTGTGTGTGTGTGTGTGTGTGTGTGTGTGTGTGTGTGTGTGTGTGTGTTTGTGTGTCTTACCGCCATAGCTCTAGTGAAGCCGATGACTCCATGTTTAGTTGCAGTGTAGACAGGCTGGTGAGGGGAGTGTAGGAAGGCTGAGTCAGACAGAACAAGGAGAGAGGAGACATGTCACCAGCAGCCAGCGGAAACTCTGCTGGGGGCCCCAGAGGAAACTTTGCTGGGGCCTCCAGAGGAAACTCTGCTGGGGGCCCCAGAGGAAACTCTGCTGGGGCCTCCAGAGGTCCTGACCTGCAAATGGTTTGTCCCACCTGGGAAGGAAAGACTGATGGAACCATCTGGTTCCCTCAGAAGCTTCCCTCAGGATAGCTGGTGCTCAGAGTCTCGTAGTGTTATCTGGTAAAGGGAGTGATTAGCGGTCTTAGAGCCAGAACAATCTCAACCTGTCCTCAAACTGTAGACGGCTCGCTGGCTGGGAGCCCGGCGACAAATGCAAGAAAACAATGTTATCGGGGGGGATAAGTGAAACATGATTTCTGTGTGTCGGCTGTTGCTCCGGGCTCCTGTAGATGTGGATTGTTTGTCTACAATAACCAACAAAATCCTCTGGAATGTTATTAAACCTACAGAAATCCAGCTGAAGTGCACAGTAGGGGTTTCACCAACTAATCGACTAGTCGACTAGTCGACTACCTTTACCACTAGTCGGCGCTGTAGGCCCTAGTCGACTAGTCGTGAAAAAAATGGAGGTAAACGAGGTGCTGCAAAATGCTACAAAACACGTCCGACATTCTTATGTATGGCAGTACTTCAACGAAGATGTAACCAACTCCACAGTGAAGTGTCAGTTGTGTACAGCTGTACTGAAGTACAATACAAATGCATCTGCTATGCGCAACCATCTAAAGATGAAACACCCGCTGCCGACAGCTAGCACTAGCAGTAATGCTAGCACCAGTGAGCAACGGACCGGCGTCAGCACTGAACAGAGGCAAACGAACAGCAAGAAAACACGAGTCAACAGTGATGCGGATGATGAGCTACGGGATTACTGCCAGCGGACACCGCATATCCCCACTATGGATAATCCACTGGAGTGGTGGGCAGAAAACGTGCACCGCTTCCCCCGCTTTCGAGGAGCTACCTGGCTATTCCAGCCACAAGCACCCCGAGTGAGAGGGTTTTTTCCCTGGCAGGCAACACTGTCACCCGAAAGCGGTCAAGCCTCCTTCCCTCACATGTCGATGCGTTGGTGTTCAAACCAAAAATATGGAAAGGTGGACGTTATCGTGGAGGACAGCGAATAAAGTGTTTCGCAATGCGCTGTTGCGCACTGGATTTACGTGGCATTTATGTAAACAAGAGTTTTTTTAGCTGTCGATTTTTGGTGAGTCCCAGTGTTTGTTATTTACTCAGCCATGTAACACAAATTTAAAATGCAGTGTTTAATGTTACTGTAATGAGTTTCCAATAGAAAATACAGTTGTAAACCTCTCTTTGTGTGTCTTTATTATGACGTAACGACTAGTCGACTAGTCGACTACTATTTTGAAAAACGTGTCGACTAGTAAATATTGGTAGTTGTGAAACCAATAGTGTGTGTGGGTGGGGGGGATGTGTGTGTGTGTGTGTGTGTGTGTGTGTGTGTGTGTGTTAGGGGTTTCACCAACTAATCGACTAGTCGACTAGTCGACTACCTTTACCACTAGTCGGCGCTGTAGGCCCTAGTCGACTAGTCGTGAAAAAAATGGAGGTAAAGGAGGTGCTGCAAAATGCTACAAAACACGTCCGACATTCTTATGTATGGCAGTACTTCAACGAAGATGTAACCAACTCCACAGTGAAGTGTCAGTTGTGTACAGCTGTACTGAAGTACAATACAAATGCATCTGCTATGCGCAACCATCTAAAGATGAAACACCCGCTGCCGACAGCTAGCACTAGCAGTAATGCTAGCACCAGTGAGCAACGGACCGGCGTCAGCACTGAACAGAGGCAAACGAACAGCAAGAAAACACGAGTCAACAGTGATGCGGATGATGAGCTACGGGATTACTGCCAGCGGACACCGCATATCCCCACTATGGATAATCCACTGGAGTGGTGGGCAGAAAACGTGCCCCGCTTCCCCCGCTTTCGAGGAGCTACCTGGTTATTCCAGCCAAGCACCCCGAGTGAGAGGGTTTTTTCACTGGCAGGCAACACTGTCACCCGAAAGCGGTCAAGCCTCCTTCCCTCACATGTCGATGCGTTGGTGTTAAAACCAAACCAGAAAGGTGGACGTTATCGTGGAGGACAGCGAATAAAGTGTTGCACACTGGATTTACGTGGCATTTATGT